CTCCAAAATAGGAAGACAAGAGTCCAGTCTTGCAATCATGATTGATATGAAAAGTCTTTATGTAGATCACTCACACAAAGAGCTGCACTGAGCCCAAAGGAAAGAAATTAATCTCTTATTTAATGACTTCTATATACAAATGTGGGAGCCCCCGGTGGTCTAGGGGAAATGACACTGCACTGTCACTGCAGAGACCAGGGTTCAATTCCCGGTCGGGGCCCCTCCCCGGGCAGATGGAGCTCGTTAGCCCGTAAGGCAATCCATCTACGTCCTGAGGACCTCACTGCCACCGTCCAAGCGTACTTGGCCCCAGCAGATGAACCTCAGGATTAAAGGGTGGGCTCAGTTCCGCGCACACTGTGTCTCACCTAAAAAATCCAATGCGCAGGCTGGAAGATGTAAAGACCTTCCCCGGTTCTTCGTTCGCGAAGAGGCTGGCCATATATACAAATGTAAAGCTATGTTTGTAGAAGTAATTTTTCCATTAAATGTCCAACTTAGATGCTTAAACAATCAGACCTGAGCATAATATTACGTGAGTAATTACAGTGGGAAGCTGTAAAATGCTTATAGAATCATAGAATAGATTGGGTTGGAAAAGACCTCCAAGATCATCAAGTCCAACCCCTGATCCAACTCCAATTACTATAGCATGGCACTAAGGGTCACATCCAATCTCTTTTTAAAAACCTCCAGGGATGGAGAATGCTTGATTACCCTCTCTGTAAAGAATTTCTTCCTAACATCTAACGTAAACCTCCCCTAGCAGAGCTTGAGCCCATGTCCTCTTGTCCTATTGTTGGTTGCCTGGGAGAAGAGACCAACCCCCACCTGGCTATAACCTCCCTTCAGGTAGTTGAAGAGAGTGATGAGGTCACCTCTAAGCCTTCTCTTCTCCAGACTAAACAACCCCAGCTCCCTCAGCCTCTCTTCTCCCAGGCAACCAACAATAGGGCCTTACCCTTGGTAGGTTCATTTACCAGTTGATGAAGGAAATTGTCCTCTATACACTCCAGGAACCTCTTAGACTGCCTCTTCTCTGCAGTATTGAGCTCCCAGCAGATATCCGGCTGGTTAAAGTCACCCACAAGGACAAGGGCTAACGATTTCGAGACATCTGCCAGCTGCTTATAGAATAATTCATCCCCTTCATCATCCTGGTAGGGTGGTCTGTAACAGACACCTATGATGATGTCGGCCTTGTTGGTCTTCCCCCTGATTCTGACCCACAGGCACTCAACCTTATCGTTGCTGACCTCAAGTTCAACAGAGTCAAGAGACTCTCTAACATATAAAGCCACCCCTCCACCTCTCCTACCCTGCCTTCTGAAGAACTCGCAGCCTTCCATAGCAGCACTCCAGTCATGCGAGTCATCCCACCACGTTTCTGTGATGGCGACTACATCATGGCCTTCATGCTGCACAGTGGCTTCGAGCTCCTCTTGTTTGTTGCCCATACTGCGTGCATTAGTGTACATGCACTTCAGGTGGGCTGTTGATTTAATTTTTAAGTCAGGCTTTCCATCCCTAGGTTGATCACTGGAGAGCCCGGTTTCGACCCCTTCCCCCTTCAAACCTAGTTTAAAGCCCTCCTGATCAGCCTCGCTAACTTATGGGCTACAGTCCTCTTTTTCTTCCTAGACAGATGAATCCCATCTGATTTTAAGAGACTAGGTACCATGGAGTTTGCCCCATGGTCAAAGAAACCAAAATTTTGACAATGGTACCAATCCTTTAGCCATCTGTTTAGGAGTTGGGCTTTTTTACTCCTCTCTTTATTTAACTCCTCATCCATCCCCGATAGTACAGGAACTGAGGCAAACATCACCTGTGCTCCTGTCCCTTGAACTGACCGACCCAGTGCTTTAAAGTCTTTTTTAATTGTCCTGGCACTTCTTTGATTAATGTCCTCGC